TGCCGTTATTGTTCAGGTCGCTAGGGCCGCATTTTCCAATCACTCCGTTCCACTTTTCAGCGTCTACTGCGACATGCGCATTAAAATCGCCGGTGAGTATGAGGGACTCTGTATTCGGCACTTCAGACTGGTCACAGTGCACTTCCTCAAGGAAGGTATCATATTCTCCCTGCAAATTAGGCGCATAGACCTGAACCAAGGTCAACGCTTTAACCTTGCGTCGATGGATTGCAACCCTTCTGCTGCCAGGCTTCCAATCAATAATTCTATCTGCGAGGTTGGGTTCTACCAGAACACCAACACCGGCCTGAGTGCACGTCATGATATCGACGCCTGAGTAGAACAGCTTCCAACCATTGAGGTTCAGGAGTCCAGAGTCTGGGCGCTTTGTTGACGAAAGTCCGGCAATGTCGAGTTGGTACTTTGTGGCCTCATCAACTAACTTTTGTTCTTTCCCTCTGAATGAGGACATCTTCTAGTTCCGACTTTAAGCTCCCACTGGCGGTGTTGTCCTCGTGGACCTTTTTCTGACGTGCTATAATGGCATCGCGCTGTCTGCCTTCTCCTTTCAGAATGCTTAGCGACTACGTTGCTGATTGGTATCTTGGTCGTACTGCCGTCGATCTTCCTTAGACGCTCATATGCTGCTACGCCCTCCATTGACAAAGGGCGCTGGGCAGGTTCTGATCGCCGACATTTCGCAGTCGCAATCAGTCCGCCAAAAGCGTATGCGGGCTTTGGTAGCCCGGACGACAACTGTGCCGGTATAACTTTAGATGAACTCAATACCATGAGTGGCAGGTGGCGAAGTTTTACCGAGACTTTGCTACGGTCACGGTCTCCAGTCCTCCTCCTTTCTCACGGAGGCTTGGGGCCGACAACGGCGGAATTGCATTGTCACAGTCTACTGTGAAAGCTAAACCCCGTGTGCGTAACCTTCTGCTCCTAACGGTATTATTGCTATTTGACTTAATACCGGCTCGGTCGTCGCCCGGCTTCCCACGGGCCGCACAGGTTTCTGCGGATCTGAGTCAGACCGCGAACGGTTGGCGATCAGAACCTGTTCCACGCTGTTAGGCATGTGGGTAGGTAAAAGTACTACGACGGCTTCCAAAGATTTATAAGATGACGAAGATACCCGTTCTGGATGTAGGAGGGAGTCGTTACGGCACGTTAGAGAAGGTTAATTGGGAACAGTACCGAAGGTGGGAGCTCACAATCAGAAATAATAACATGTCCTTACTCAAAGAGAAAGAGCACGAGCCATTTGATGAAAGCGCATTTTAATGACTGGATATATTTGGAATTTCGTTACTGTAACATTACCGCTCAGGAATTATGAACCTCGGCAGGCGGAAGTTATTCTATTCAGGTGTCGACTACACCAGACGGATAAGAGAATCATTAAATGAAAGCCCGTCAGCCGAAGAATGGCGGTCCTCCTACGGACTACGTTACAGCAGGCTAAAGCTTTGCCATTGCTACACCCGATTCGGAGGGGGCACGTGATTCCTTCCTAAATGAAGTATCGGCGTTTTAGGCGAAGTGCCGACTACGGAATTTATTATTCTGAAGGGCGACTTCAATAAGCATGTCAGAGCAGTCACTGGAAAGTGCAGAGGGGTGGCTGAAAACAGCTGTCCTAGCAATCTTAGCAATAACGGGTTCACGGATTTGCAATTTATTGCAAACAACGAACTGTCTGTTGTAAATATCTTCGAGGATAGAAAAGTATGTCAGAATACCTGATAGAAAGAAGTTTGTGCACGAAAGTCGGATATCGATGTGAGAGTCGCTTTTTCTGACTTATGACGCTCTTTAATGTCTGTTCGTGTTAAGAGAGGTTGAGAACTGTCAGCCGATCATCATCTACTTGTTCACACCATCCGCTGCAAACAATGAGACATAATATGACCGGGCGGCCGAAGCAACCAAACAATCAAATGTGAACTTCATCTTTGCAGACGTTAGGGAAACTTAATAGAACACCATCGACGGTTTGATTAAATCCACGTAAAGACGGCTGCAGTGGATTCCGAGATGAAGCTCTTCGAGAACAGCTTACTTTGAACTCCTTCTAAATGCCATGGCTGAAAACGCGTTGGATCGCAGCCTGAACAACATGAAAAGTTCAAAATATTCTATGACGTATTGGCACGGCTGCTTCAGTACCGATCGATAGTCGGTATCAAAGTGCAACTCTTTTGATATAAATGATTGGACTATGGTCATCTCGAACAGTTGTATTACCGAATCCACAATGTTACATATCTATGAGAGACTCTCCACGAGTTCGACGAGAAACTTCTCTCGAACTAATGAATTTCGAAAATTTTGCGTTTTATTTTATGACACCACTTTTTACCTGCTAGAACTGCATAATATCAAGTATCCAGTAAAGTTGATGAAATATCATGATGCGAACGAAATGTTCGTATCCTCTGTGAATGACTTTCATAATCATGGTATTATTATTCACCTTCGTTTCTATAACTGGGAAATGCCGCAATGATGCACATTTTATATAAAATGTTGCTATATAAATTAAGTTGCTTTGTACAATAGCTCGTTGTTCTTCTATGAAAAATTGGCTTCAAACCAAACTATATTCACAAATTTCAATTTTATGAAATACGTGGGCAATTTAAATCACTGATAGAAAATAATGTACATAGATAATGAACATCGGCTAATGGACGAAATCTGTGAATCTTAGAAATTCATTAGTTTGACCGAAATTTCACACTGCGTTCACTAAGAGCTTCTCTTCGATATGAGTTGCATATTACAATTGATCGAGATGATATAGTCCAATCACATAGAATCAAACGCGTAGTATGTTGATGACGGCTATCATCCCATTCCGTTGCGCGGACTATTTAACTGTTACCTGTTTATTTATGCATTTTCTTCTATAGTTAAGACTAGACATTGACAAGCCTATCGTCTTCGGCTGAAAATCAAAATTATTGAAGCTATCACATGTCAACCACTGATTTCATGACGTTATATAATTTTGAGTGCATTAATAAAATGAATCAGCATACCCATGATATGTAAACATTGTTTGTCTTTCCTGAATATGTGATTTATTCAGTTTGGATCCTGGGTGAATACAGCGAACAGTGTCGTTTTCCGTTTGGAATCGAAACAACCGAGTTTGGCTGACTTCTACGATAACCAAGAATGGGTGTTGGTGAACTGTTCAGTGGAAGAAGACTTGGACTTTTACAAATCGGTAGATTTTAATGGTAGCAAACAAAAATCAGTCGTCGCTCTTCATCTCTTCATTCAAAGGCAATCATTTTACTATATTTTTAACCTGGTGATTCCAACTGCACTCATCACCGTGGTTGCCGTACTTGGGTTTCATTTACCAGCCACATCTACTGGCCCTCGATATACAAAACTTCGCCTTGGTATGATGACGCTGCTCTCAATGTCAATTTTACTGCTGACCGTCGTGACAGAAATGCCTAAATTTGCACTGGAGGCTGTCCCCGGAAAAAAAGGTTCATTCAGCGGAGTGCCACTAATAGGTAAATTTATTTGTTTAGTGTATCATTTACGAAAACGCTTTTTTGTATTTATGTAAATGTCTTCATTTGTAATGCTCGTCGAATAATCCCAAGTCAGATCCAGCGACAGTTCCGTGCTTGATGTAGTATTTTGCCTTAGTTATTTACTGATATCGAATTAAGTCCTCAAACAAGGACGGAGTAGAACAATTAAGACAAGTTTCATTTTCTTGCATACAATAGAATATTATTGAACAGATCAAATATGACATATGACATTGTTATACCCGACACAGACACTTAACATTAGCGTCAAGCATTAAAACCAAATTCGGAAATGATTTATGTATTACAACTTTATGACTTGATAAGACACAGAAGATAGTACATATAGTAATACATTGTATTTCATATCTTGAAGATTGGTAACAATCTATTTCAGACGAAGATTTCGATAACATCTGTTGTTCAGTCATTCTAGTTGGGATGATGATGTCTGCACAGTATTTTCTAATGTCGCTTCGATTACGGTGGCAAAATCTTTCTTCTGTTTAGCCATTGGATAATGTACTTTCTTTTAGGTGTAGGAAGTAATATTTCATCTTTCCTTCATTTAATAAGGATGTTTCTATGCAACTGGGTTGCATAGCTTACCGAATTTTCGCAATATAAAGTGTGCTTTTGATTTTGCAAGTGAAGCTTGCAGAACTACTGACCCATAAAACATCATCGGTAATGAGCTAAGTACTGTTTTAGACAATGATATCATGACAGACATAGTGCAGGTATTAAAGTACGATAGAACTGCTCTCTCTATAAATAGTCTGACTTAAAGCTCCTCAGCGTTTAGCCATCAAGAAGCGAAGAGGATGCCAAAACCTTGTGTAACTCGTAAGAACCCTCAGATGACATTATGCGCACTAACATCTTCCAGGGTATGAGCTCGCGTTGCGTAAACGCAGCGCTTCTAAATGATAAAAACGCTGACATCAATTTCTTCACCTAAGCCTATTACGAGGTGTTCTCTTGAAGGAAGGATTTGCATAAATTACTTTAGCAGGCAACAACAATTGCTATGTCCTTACCGAGCGCTTGTACGATGCCCATAAATTTTCACTCCTGAGGCATTGCACTCCGCTATAAATCTTCCCATTTTGGGCATGTTGATTTCGTTACTGCCCACTCACTATGATGGTAAGGTTAAGGTTTGGAATTGTACAGACTGTGAAAGTACGTTCATTATGCAATCAATAAATCTGATAGAAACCCTGCTTTGAGATATACGAAATGTCTGACCGTCTTATTTAGACACACCGTTTAGCTACCGCCTCAAAAAGAAGATAACTTTTCTCAATAATCAGCTTTGGGAAAACAAGCATCCGGACGGTCGTGTAGTCGATTTCTCTTGAGTCTTGTGGAGACAGCAGTACTGCTACTCTTGACTCACGTCTGGAATGGTGGTTCCTACACCATTGAAGCTAGCAACTGTTTTCCAGACGATCTTTTCCCTGATCTGTGAGTTTCTGCGATCGCAAGGAGGTAGAAGCGCCTCCGCTCAACTGTACCGATGACGTCGTCCATCTTGCCGTTCCCGTTTAACGTTCGCACGTTCCAGTAGGTGATACGGATCTTCTTATCGCTGATGTTGATTGACTGAAGTTCAGATCGCTTGGTGTCAAATGTTCTGACCTGTGGACATACACCACTCATTGCACAGGCTCCGCATAACCGGGACGCACAGCGGAGCGAAAGAGCAGCCAGACCGTTTGTAGCGATACACAGTCGAACAGTTTATTAAGTAAATATAGTGAAACAGACATCTTTCATAACCTATTAGCAACGTCATCAGTCAGTCAGTTCGTTTCAATGACGGCTTATCCATTCATGGTGCAGAGGCAGACATTTTAGACAGTACCTCCAACGTTTCCGAACCTGTGCCAGCATCTGAGCGTCGGTAAAAGATCAGCCAACCTAGTCTGGAGCATGCCGTTTTCATACACTTGCACCAGATTGTTTTTGGCCGTCTACGGGGTCTTCGGCTGATCGGTTGTGCAAATAGTAGCTGCTTCGCTTTTCGTTCTGGAGACATTCGCAACAAGTACCCAAACCATCGCAACTGCGACTTTTCAATCTGGAGAAGCAGAGGTTGTACACCAAGGGTTCCGCGGATGTCCGTCTTCAGTCTGAAACAAATTGAGACAAGCGAGGAAAGCGACTTATCTAAGAAAACCCATTTCAGCCGCTTGTATCTGGGATCGAGGCTTCTCAGTCATCGTCCACGACTCATGACCGTATGTAAGAATAGGAATAAACATCGACTTGATTGCCGAGAACTAACTCGTCAAATTTAGCTATTCTTTAATCACAACGTTCCAGGCTAGTTGAGACAGAACGCCCCTGGCTATGCGATCTTTTGCTCAAATTTCCCATCACCAGTAAACACCCTTAGGTACTTCAACTTTTCCACCTGGTCCACTGCTTCTCGTCTATCCGAAGATATCAACGGGTGGGAAAACAAGAATAAAATAGGCTTTTCGCTATAGATACGTTCACAGGCATGCCCGGCCACTTCGTACTCGGTTTCGAATTCTTCCAGAAGACGCTGAAGATCAGTTTCAAAAACTGACAACAAAACAAGGTCATCTGCAAACAGTAGCCAATCTTTTACTCTGGCACACTCTTTGTCTATGTTGGGCCTGAGTAGTCTAGTACTGTACAACAGACACTGGAGAAGGGACAAAATGCAGCCTTGGCGGAGTTCCAACGCTGAAAGTTTTTGAGGTTTAGAGTCGAACAAGAGAAGGAGAAGAAGGTGGTCTTGATAAAGGCCAGAGTCAACAATCAAGTTTCGAGGTAAT